TCCCACTCCCTTCCAGAAATACCTGCATGAGTCCCGTCATCGTCACGCCATGGCCAGAAAGCGCGGAGACGGTGGACGCTTCTTCTCTCCGAAGGAAAAGGAAGAAATGGCCATGCAGGCCCTTAAGGTGAGCGAGGGGCTTGAGCTCAGCTCTCATTGGCCAGCCACCTCAGCCCCGCCTCTGGGGTAAACTATCCAATCCCAGCTTGTGTCCGACCCGAGAGACTCAATACACCTAATTTAATTTAGACCATCCATACGCTCTGCCTGAGCTACCTCATGCGTCTGTGACACATTCATGTCCAAACTGTCTCTGTCTGTGAGTTAACTGACATTTCCAACCAATTAAACTGAACATGCATACTAAGATCTTAGTATATATGTTCTAGTATATAGTATGAGCAAATACAATGTACAGATTGGTCCCCATGTTTGTAACTGCTAGGCTGCCTTGTAGCTTTTTACTTCCTTTAATAATTTCATTATTTAGCTGCATATCTTTGTGTGCAGCTTAAAGATAGTATGTTTGAACTCTAATTGGAAATGGCTTCTTTCAGAAAACTTCAGCTGTAAACATGGGTGATTAGCACGATTTGCCCTGTCAGTGTTTAAGGTTTCTTGTCTTAAATGTCTGACTGCTACTTTAAAAGGAAATCTTCAACCTTGACATCTTTTTTTCTGTCTGCATTTCTGCCGTTTGTCCTACCATGCCGTAAACTTCTACCCCAGACTGCTTGTGATAGCCACTGAGATGTATTAAGCTGTGTTTATTTGTCCTTTTTACCATCTTACTGGTATGAATAGCCATTCAAAATGATGTGTTTTCATTAATGATGTACGGCTTGGCTTGCACCCTTTAACGCTCTTCTGTCTTTGCCAGAGCTGTGGCTTTGTTGTTGCTTTTGCCATTTTATGTTTCTTACAGCGGGCTGTATGTGGGCTTTTGTTTGCATTCATGTTTGTTACTTGATGATATATATGACCTTTTTATGCAAATAAACCATTGTTCTTGATTTATACTTGGTTAGTAATGCCTTGCAGTTTTGTTTACATGCTGATAAAAAGTTCATGTTGAGTTTTGGTCATTTTGACCTGCAGAGGATTTTCTTTTCCCCATAACTAGTTAATACATTTCTCATTAGGCTGTATTATTACCAAATATTAGATTCGGTCTTTTCCGTTTTCTTTCAGTTAACACAGGTTTTGTAATTATTTTCGGAACTGATTGGTCATAGTCCTCATTGATCAAAAGAAAACAAGTTGGCGGTAATATAGCATAATGAGAGTTTTATAAGCAATTAAAGCCGGCCATTTTTGGGAACACCAAATTAGGTAAAAGGATTTTCAGCACAGCACAAGGGTTAAATATTAAATTTTTATTGTGCAGAGTTGCATTATAGACTAAGTCTTCAATATAAAATGTTATATATTTTTAGCTTCGTTCATTGTATAAATCGCGATAAATAAATCCCATAGATGTTTTGAAATGCATTTTAGAGTTGAGTCAATCACTAATATTTTATATATCAGACACATTGATCAGAAAATTCTCATGGTTCAAACAGGTAAGAGTTCAACTCCAGTCACCCTCTCATAGCATGTCGTATTGATGAAATTTTCATCATCTTCCTTTTTCCTCACAGAAATCTGAGCAGGATCAATCTGAAGAGGACACAGTGGGCCACATGATTCAGGTGGCATAAACTACCCTTTCCTCCACGTGTGTTTGTCAGTCCTTTATGCTTAAAATTTCAAAACATGGTTTCTGACTTCCCCTGATTTATTTCAGTTCTCGTATAGACTGAACAATTGTTTTTGTTGTCCAATACTGCCATGTAAAACATACAGATATTGGGAATTTGAGTTTTTTTAAAACCATCTCACCAGGCCAAAAGGTGTACAAGTATTTTCTGTATTTATGAGGAACGACTTTTCATTTTAGGGTCAAATGTGTTTATGATTTGTTACTTTAGACATTTTATTCCACTCCATTTCTTTATTTAATTAAAAAGTAACATGTAAGAATTGATCACAAAAATGTGAATTACAGTTGAGTTTTGTACTATGAGAAGTTTTTATGTGTACTGGATCAGACTGTGAAATGTTACACTTTTCTATGCACTCGCGCTTTTAGTTGGTCCACCGACCATTTGTACATCCACCCACTCTCAAACATCTCCCTTTAATGAAAACATTCACTTATCTCCTTGTATTTTCTATTGATGGCTTCCTTATATGAAAATAAAGGTTGATGTTCTGTACATGGTGGCAAAATCTGCTTTAATTGAAAACAATTTACGTTGCAAAATCTATAGGTAACTTTGTATTTGGTATATCAGACCGTTTTTAGGATCTACACATTCTCACGGGTTGAGTCGAGCCATGTTTGTGTTTCCCTTTGCTAAGTTACAGACACACCCATTTGATTGCCATTATTTAATAGATCCATGATGCATCTGTACCCTGAGCTCTGGTGGAGTGGTTTTATTTAAGTTAAAGGGATAGTTCTCCCAAAAATGAAAACTTTCATTCAAAAGTTCTCCCAAACTTTTCACCCCCATGACCCCCAAAATAACAGTGCCAGT